CACTGCAGCAGGAGAGCTGGCCCTGCCCCACCCCTCACCATGTGCTGACCAGGAGAGCACAGGCCTAGGAGAGCTGGCCATGCCCTTTGCCTGAGGTGGGATGTCCCAGTGGCCCAGGCCAACCTGCTCAACTATCATCCAGACCTACCCTAAGACCCCATCTATGACATGAAGGGACTGGTCCTGTGGAATCTCCATAACTCAAGGCAATAGCAGGATATCTGAGAGGAGCTTCAGTGAGGGTCTAGTGATGAGGGCGTGCCAGAGGCAATGAATATTTTGTGGGTGGGGCTGACTGGACGAAAGGGTATATGCTGCCTGACCCACCGAAGCACCCACTGGGACGAATGACGGTGTGTTGGAAAGAGGAGGAGCGAGGTGGGCTTTTTGTTTGTTCGTGTTGCTTTGTTTGTAATTTGTTTGGGGGGTTCTTAGAGGGGAGAAAGTTGTGGGGTGGGGGAAGGATATGGAGGGACAAGGAGGTGAGTGGGATTAGGGTGCATGATATGAAATTTCCAAAGAATCAATAAAAATTGATTGTTTTTATTGATTTGGGGTATATAAAGAATACTGACCTGAAAAGTTCTTTAGCAAATCAGCTGTAAATAAAGGTAGACAGCCATACACTTGCATCACCCCCACGCGCAGGTGAAACTTAAACTTGAGCCATTTCTGGTACATTTCTATGTCAGATGAAAACAAAATTCAGCAAGCAGCTAATCAGAAGCAGCTAACACGATGGTGGGCATCGTTCCATAGACAAAGAAACTTTACACTGTCATTGTGCTCCGGCCTTCGGTTTCATAATGCTAAGCTGCAATCACTTAATTTTTGCAAAAGTCAAATTAAAATAATGTTATACAAAGCCAGATGTTTTGGTGCACAGTTGTAATCCCAGAACTCAAGAGGTGGAGGTAAGAAGATTAAGGCCAGTCTGGGCTACGTGAAAGCCTGTCTTTGAATGAATGAATGAATGAATGAATGAATGAGGGGCTGGAGAGTAATTCCTGATCTTGCAGAGGACCTCGGTTTGGTTCCCAGCACCATGTGAATGCTCACGACTGTCTATAACTCAAGTGACTCCAGTTCCTCCTCTGCACATAGGGCACGTGTGTACACTCGGGCACACATAAGCACACAAGACAAAAAGAATTTAAAATAAATAAATGATTGGATGACTGAATGCATAAATGTTAACCAAAGTCATTCTGGTCTTATGTTGTTGAGATGGCCTGGCCTAGAACTCACTCTGTAGGTCATGGCAATCTTTCTGCCTCCACCTGTCAGTGCTGCAACATCCGGTGGGAGCCGCCATTTCTGACTTGATTTTAAGCTTTGAAACCTTGACTTTAAAATATGATACTTGTTTATTATAATTTCTGTATTTTATTTTAATGGAATATTAAAACAAATGTGAAATATTATAGAATATTCTAGAATAAAAATAACTTCTTAAAATTTACATTTACTCCAATTTATCCTTGAGTCAAATTTTGGACATTCTGAACACACTTTCCTTCCTGAGGAAATTATTGCTCAGGGTTGGTCCATAGAAAACCAAACATCAAAGGGGAGGATGAAGGGGGCAGGGGGTGGGATACACCCTGGTACTGGCTTTTAATCCCAGCCTTGAATTCGCAGATCCAGCAGCTAGGTGAATACAGTGTATACCCCCCCCTTTTTTTTCTATTTTTTCAAAAACAAAACTAAAACCCAAACTAGACTGGGGAAATGGGAAGCTAAAGTGTTTACTACCCAAGCAAGGGGATTTGAGATTACCAGCATGCAAAGCAAGGCATAGCTGATGGTCTGTAACCCCAGGCAAGCTCGTAGCAGCTGTTAACAGCCTCCATTTTGATGGGTTATCACCAGCCTGCTCAAATCTCTTCTCTTCTTCAAGATCTAGAACCTTCTCTCCAGGAGAGAGAAACAGTCAAGACCGCTACGAGCCACAACATTATACAGTAATTGCTCCGCCATCTTTTCAAGAGCAACTTATCAGAACCAAGGGATCTGATAAGGGCTAAACCAAAAGGCAAGGCTTTTTGGCGTTACTGCTTTGTGAATAAAGTGGCCGTCCTTTGCTGTGCATTTCTGGTGTAGCTGACTCCCTTTCTGTTACGTATTTGAGAATTAATTCTCCAGTTCAGAATAGTTTTCCACTGCCAGGCCTTCATTCCTCTCTCCTAGGTAAGTGCAGAGATCTGCCTTCCTGCAGTTATCTTTATCAGCAGGCATTTGGTCAGTGCTTAGGGTCCAGGCATAGAACATCTCATTTAAGATATTCACAGATCTCCAAGGAGATAGAATTACTACCTGCCCAAGCTGCTGCTCTGGTTTTACCCCACAATGCCCATGATCAGAACAGCTGACAACAGCAGACCCTGGAACTGATCATTAGAGGCCTGGGTTCCTTCTGTGTTTCTACTGCCTAAAGCAAAACTCCAGACCTAGGCCCATAGAAACTGCAGCATCTGGCTACCTGCTATCTGATCAAGAGCCATCAGCTTCTCCCTGACTGTTTAAGTAGATTGCCTGGTTACCTAGTAGCCTCTGTGTATGCTGGGAAAAAAGAAGTGGAATGCTGGTTTAAACAATCTATGCCCTAATCATAATTTTACTGAAAATAAACTTTTTAGCTCTTCACCACCACCGAACTTGCTTTGTAGACCAGGCTGTCCTGTGTGAATCAGAAACCTCCGGTGGGGGGCAGGGAGCAGGTCTCTATGTAGCCCTAGCTGTCCTGGAACTCACAGAGATTATCCTGCCTGTGCTCCCAGAGAACTGAGATTAAAGGCCTGTGCCACCATGTCCAGCTCATAGGGCCTTTGTAAGAACAAAATACGCAGAAAAACTGAGGTTCAGAAATGCCTGGGGTTCAGGCTCAATCTTGAAGGAAGGTAACCCCTAAAAGGCTCAAAGTAGAATTGATTTATTTCTCAAAACAGACAATCTTTAGTGTTTCTTCTGATAATATACAAGAGTTAAAACTTTTTTCTTTTCCATTTACTTATTTTTTAAAGACAGGGCTTCTCTGTGTAGTCCTGGCTGCCCTGAAACTCCCCCTGTAGACCAGGCTGGCCTCCAACTCAGAGATCTGCCTGTCTCTGCCTCCCAAGTGCTAGGATTAAAGGCGTGTGCCACCACCCCCCAGCTAGAAAAGTTCTTATGCATTCACTCCTCAGAGACAAACTGTCAAACTGTCACCAACAGAGCTTTTTGGACTTGGGCTAACCATGTTCTTGATGACATGCAGGGGTAAAGAAAATCATACATTATACCGCAGAGGCACTTAGCAGGATAGTGGGTTGTAAGACTTTAAGACAATTCTGAAGCCATTTCTGACAATTCCAAACCTTCTCAGCCTCTGTGCCTTAGTGCTTCCCCTCCTCCCCTGGGAACTAAGGACCTAACAGCTACACATGCATGTACTCAGTTCCTGAACAATTACCCATACACGTATGTTTTGACTCAGTCCCCTGAGAAATGGGGTCAAAATGACCTCTTACCTCATCTAATCTGACAATAGCTCTCCAGCCAATTATTGGTATTAGCCCTTTTCAAATAAGGCAATCATAATGGTCAAAGAACAACCCCTCTTGTTTCTATGGGGCCTTCTCCTTTAAAAGTAGACTGTACTATTCGAGGTCTCTCGGCCTCCCGAATGCTGAGGGACCCTGTCATGACAGAATTAATAAAATTCTCATGCTTTTGTATCGGCTGTGGTGTATGAGATGGTCTCTGGGGGCGACTCCTTCTCGGTTTGGACACTAGAGTCCAACAGGGTAACTCACAGCACTCAAGTGGGTGGACAAAAGAGTTACAGGAAGGTCGCCAAGACGCCAGGGGACTGAGTCAACCAGGAAGCCAGTAAGGACAGTTAGCTCGGCATGTCACTTGAGGAACCAATGGACACAGCTCGGTGCCTTACTGCACTGAGGTCGATGGCTGTCACGGACACTGCCAGAATTGGATCCAATTCTAAAGTCTCTGCTTTGTGTGTCTGTCTCTGGATCCTAAGTCCATCTGGCCAAGCTAAAGACAGACAGATGGACAGACAGACAGACAGACACACACACACACACATCCTGAGCCTGAAGAGTAAATGCATCTGCCTTGGGGCACAGTTCAGCTGTCACTGACTTGCAAAACACTGGATTCCTTAAGAAAGTAAGACATGCCCATGATGGCTATTCTTGGATGTCAATGTGAATAAATCTGAAATTAACTAAAATCCAAAAATGGAGGGCACACCTGTGGAAGACTTTTGCTAAATTTGAAGTAGGAAGATCCACTTCTAATCCAGATCTTGATGTGTGAAGACACGCCTTTAATCTGGACCACACCTTCTGCTGCAAGCTCTACTCACTAAAGCTGACCTGGCTACAGATCCAGCCGAGTGCCAGATCTGCCAATGACAGAGACCAACGGTAAGCCCCAGATATGGCACCATTCCCCAGGAGTTCAGCTAGTGACCTGGTGGCAGGTTGACTACATTGGATCACACGTACCAGAGCAGATACTTATTTGGTTATGGATTTGCCTTTCCTGCATGCAATGCTTCTGTCAAAACCACCATCCATGGACTTACAGAGTGCTTTATCGACTGTCATGGTATTCCATACAGTATTGCTTCTGACCAATGAACTCATTTCATAGCCAACCATTGTTGGAGTAGCTGGACTGAAGCCTGCAAGTCAGTCTATAAATCCCCTTTACGTGTGTGTGTGTGTGTGTGTGTGTGTGTATACATACACACATATTCATTATATACATTGTTAGTCTAGAGGACCCTGACTAATACAAGGTCACACAGCAAATAGATTGCACTAGTGTGTAACTAACTCTTCTGCTTACACATACATGGATGGCATCTTATGTATTTGTTTGGCTTGCCTTTTGTCTCAATACAAGTTTATAGTGTGTGTGTCCCCATCAAGGCCAGCAGAGTAATGATCCACAGGAGGCAAGAAGGTGGTAAAATCTAACACAACTCAGTAGCCAGTGCTGGTTCAAACTTTGAGAGTCTGACACCAAGGAGTTTATTTTAGGCATATTTAAGCACAGTACAAGTTGGTGAAAACTTTCCTGGCAATAATTAACTCAATCCTAGGTGCACAATTAACTCAAAAATGTGTGCACAATAAAGTTTAAGACACAACTACACTGAAACACTTTGTAAAGTACATGTGACATCTTCCATAAAGACAGTTTCTATAGGAGTGATGGTCCTTAATCCCAGCACTCGGGAGGCAGCCAGGGCTGTTACACAGACAAACCCTGTCTCAAAAAACAAAAACAAACAAAACTTGTTTCTACAGACAGAGAAAAACACACTAATGATAAATGTCACCAGGCTGTTAACTTCGTCCATTCCCAGCCTTCTAGGTGGAAATAGGTTATATGTCACTCTCATTGAAGAGACAAACAACCCTGTGTGTTTAACATTGTTGGTTCCTTAGTGCTTATCAGTGAGCACACGGACTCCTGTGCCCAGCACACAGTTATTTCTTAAACTCTTGTGGAGCACTTACGGAATCTCCATTGTTTATTTTGTCAATTCTCACTGTATTATAATAAACAATATATAGTAAAGAACCTCCTTGAACGCGCCTCCTGGTACTGATGGATGCCCGGTAAGTAGGATAACGTCCGGATGGTGAAATTGCTGAGTCAAATTACGCGTAAACTACTGCTCGACTGACCTGAAGAAACACATTTCGAGTCAGTGAAACGCGAGACAGCCCAGAGATGCGTCTTTTTTTTTTTGAGGGGGGGGGGAAAGGGGGGTCTGTTGTTAAAGATCCGACTGGATGGGTCTTTCGAAGGATCCAAATGCTAGAAGGTTCGGCAGCCCGGGCTTTAGAAGAGCACGCGGAGGAGCAGGACTGGAAACGCCCCGGGCAATCCTACAGATGGTAACTTGCCGCGCGCCGAGCGCCGGCTGCGGCCCCCAGCTTGGGGACCCCCTCCGGTAGCCCGGGTTCAGCCTCCCAGGTGCGTCCGGGGTTTGAACGGCTGTGCCACCACGTGCCAGTCCGCGTCCTTACCCGCTGGGCCAAAGCGTCCTCGCCACACGCCTCCTAATATAAACACATTAAACAACTCAGGCTGCGTGAGCCGAGCGTCCTGCCCGGGGTCCGTGTCGCCTGCTTTCTCCAGATTCGCTCCAACCCGACAACTCGCCGCCCCCAGCACTTGCGGGCGAGGCCGGGACCCCTGGAGGAGCACCGGAAGCAGTGACGCCTCGGGACACAGGGACGTTTGGAACTCGTAGGGACACGGGAATCTCGGTGGCTCCGCGTCTGCCCGCCATGGTGGCCCTGGGCCAGGGGCCCAAATCAACTGTAGCGAAGCTTAGCAAAGGTTACCCAACGTCATGTGGCTTGAGAAGGCTGCCGGGCGCCTAAAGACGCCAGCGGGTCCCATGGTGTAATGGTTAGCACTCTGGACTTTGAATCCAGCGATCCGAGTTCAAATCTCGGTGGGACCTCACTGGGCATCATTTTTGGTCTTAGAATCCCTGTTTTGGGGCCTGCAGGTAGTAACGACCTAGTCGAGGCTGGATGGGGAATGCACTGACCTGCAGAACGGCCATCCAGTTTCCCTCCCCGGGTTCAACACGCTCACATTTCAGGAGCAGCCTGGGCCGGGCGGCACTGCGCACGCGCGCCGAGTCAGGCGGAAAAGTAAATGTGTTGATGGAAGACGGAACAGAACTTTACCCTGAAGGGAAAAACCGAAAGAACCCGAAGGCTCCCGAGGCGCTCCTGGCGGGGTACCGCCTACTCGGTGCGCCCGGAGGCCCCGCCCCGTATTCTCTTATTGGCTACTGTGCAGAACGTGCGGCGGGATTGCTTTGTGAGCTGCGAATGAAGTGGTCGGACAGGGCTAGGGGGCGGGCAAATGACTCCAGAGGACCTCTGATTGGCCACAAGCGAGTGGTACCCGGAGGCTTGTGCATTTGGGGTCAGAGACCGTGTTTTGTTCTTGGTTTAGCGCTCCCCTAGCGATGTTCGTTTTTCAATTAGACAATTCGTCAGGACCGTTTCTCACCGTCCACAGGGTGTTTCTCCAAGCGCAGGATAGGAATTCTGCAGCAGCGCGCGTATGTGCGTTGGACCTGCGGGAAAAGGCGTACGTCTCCAACAGGGTGGAAGATACGTGCATGGGTTGTTATCTTCTTTGGATTCATACCTGGATTTTGAGATGTTTTTCCCTGTAGGGTAAGTGACGAGGGAGCCTGCTGACGCATTATGGTCTCCCTACAGAGTGATTGGCACGGTGGCTATAAGTTCCCACCCTTGGGAGGATGCCATAGAAACAAAAAGCCTCGTTTGGCTTTCCTATTAATTCTCAGTACACCTTTTCCCGACCCGACCCACGCACTTTTTAAGACGCCTGAATGGATCAGTTTGAATGAGCTATCCCAGCCTCAAAAAATATGTAGTCACGAGAGGAGGGAGGACTTGTGCGACCAGAGGATAAACCTGCTTATCAACTGTACACTGAAGAAATATATATAACAAAGGTGTTACCAAAAGAAAATGTAAATAATAATAATAATTGGTACAACAGAATAGGGGAAAAGACCTACTTGGCATTGGCCATTGTGTTTCTATGGAAAAATACGAAATCGGATTCCTCTCTACTGTACACCAAGCACAGCCATAAATCCCATGTGAACTGTTGACCTGAAAGCGAAGAAGGCAGTGAAGCCCTGGGTGACAACATAGGGGAATATGTACATCTCTCAGTTCAAACAAAGCCTTAATTAAAGACACAAGAGTGTTATACTTCCCAAGATGAGCGTGCTACTCTGTGCCCTTACTAGAAGATGTCCAATAAAAAAGAGGACATGCCGGTGTTTCGCTCAGGGGTAAATTATGCAAGGCACTCAATGGCCTGGCATAGTGAAAGGAGAAAGGTAGCCACAGAATAGGAATTTGCATGTGTTATGCATAAATGATAAATCTAAATAACTAAATATAAATTATAAAAACCTGTAAGAAAACTGCCTGTAGAAAAAATAGCAAAACCATGGGCTAGGGAGATGGCTCAGCCAGAAAACTGTTTGCATGCAACAGTGAGGACCTGAAACCCACGTCACTTGTTTATAGTCCCCACGCTGGGGACGCAGAGACAGGAGGGTCTCTGGGGCTCGCTGGCCAGCCAACAAGAGAACCCATGAAAGATGCCTGAGGAACTGCCCCTGAGACTGACCTCATGTAAATGGCTTTCACATTCACATCCACATGCACACACATTTTTAAACCGCAAAATCAAGAGGAAAATCGCTTAAGAGTTGAGGGGGCCCCTCGCTTCGGAAACCCCAAACAGCCATTACATATCAGAAGATGTGGCAGATCATTAAAGAACTCAATTGGAGGGCTGGAGAGATGGCTCAGAGGTTAAGAGCATTGCCTGCTCTTCCAAAGGTCCTGAGTTCAATTCCCGGCAACCACATGGTGGCTCACTCTTCTGGCCACCAGGCATACACACAGACAGAATATTGTATACATAATATAAAAAAAAAAGAACTCAATTGGATACCACACAACCGCCTGAAGACAATGCCGGTCCAGGACAGCAGGGATATGTAGAAAGACCCTGTCTCTGGGAAGTAGAAAGTATCAAAAGACAAGATCTCCTGAGTAAATTGGGAGCATGGGAACCTTGGGGGTGGATTGAAGGGAGGAGGGGAGAGGCAGGGAGGGGAGCAGAGAAAAATGTAGAGCTCAATAAATATCAATAAAAAATAGTTATAAAAAGACCCTGTCTCAGAATAACTAACTAACTAACTAAATAATAACAAATAAATAAATATTTTTAAAAAGACTTTGTCTAAAACAAAACCTATCCAGCTATCTGGTTTTGCTTTTACTAGACATGAGGCTGTATTTACAAGACCAGTTCACATCTGGTTGTCATACAAAGACCTGGATAAACGCACCCTCCCTCTATTAGCTAGATATATCTGGGTGATCAATTTGAATGTACTAAGCCTCTTTGATAAAAGAATAACAGTGGTGCCTTTTTATCTGTTGGTGTTTTGAGAATTCGTAAAACAAACAGGAAAACCCTAGCGAGGTGTGTTGTCACATGCCTGTAATCCCAGTACTGGAAAGGTAGGAACAGCAGGATCAGAAGAACAAGGTCATCCCAAGCTACACAGCAAGGTCGAGGACTGCCTGGACTTCATGAGATTCTGTCAGAGAAAGAAAGAGGCTAGTGAGATGGCTCATGAGTGGAGTCTTTACCATACGAACCTGGTGACCTGAGTTCTACCCTGGAACTGGCATACAGAGGAAAGAGAGAACTGACTCCCAGAGGTTGACCTCTGACTTCCACACACACACACCTTGACACACGTTCACCTCCACTCAACTCATCAGGAATGCATGGACGCATGTGTTGTGAGAGAGCGAGGGGAGGGGGAAAAGCAGCTCCTCGTCTCTGCCTGCTCCTCTGCTGTGGTCAATAATGCTAGCTTCTAAAAAGACAACCAAGGATAGCAAAGTTCTAGAAGCTCAAGTAAGTACTAGAAAGAAGAAACACTAGTGCAAGAGGGAAAACTTAGCACAGACAGCTATTTAGTGTGTTTGCCTGTGCCTTTCTAGTCTGGTTTGTGACAGAAGCAGAGAATGAGAGCTTATGGGTGGAAGCTGGGGTGGGGGGCAATTAGGAAAAACATCTAGCAATTGGTGCTGTCCATCAACGGGACTTCTGGTGCCTGGAGATGGTCCAGGGTACTTAGAGACCTTGCCTACTGTGGTCTCAAGAGGAACTGGAGCTATGCACAGAGTCAGGCTTTCTCGGCTACCATCTGCAGTGAATCCTCACTTCCAGCTCAGAGCTTTGCTGGCCAGGAGCTTTCAAATTGGGGTTTCCAGGGGTCCCCCCATCCTGCTTTTTTGTTTATTTGTTTATTTATTGGTACTAAGACTCTCAGTCAGATAACATCTTTTGTCTCACAAACTAGTACACACACACACACACACACACACACAAAGTGTGTGTGCACCACTGAAATATAAGTTTAAAAACATGATCTGAGCTGGGTAGTGGTGACACACGCCTTTAATCCCAGTACTTGGGAGGCAGAAGCAGGAGGATTTCTGTGACTTCAAGGCTAGCCTGGTTGATGCAGGGAAACCCTGTGTCAAAAAAACAAAAAAAGAAAGAAAAAATGTTGTGTGGTGTTTGATTACACGACGTAAGGATTGTCATTGTGATCGGCTACTAAAAAACTGAACGGCCAGTAGTTAGGCAGGATTTGGGGGGCAGAGAGGACCCTGGGAAGAAGGGAGGAGTTGTAGTAGGAACGGCAGGCTGCATTCCCGCCGGCCACCAGGCTAGCTTTACCCGAAATAATTACACGGAAACTGTATTCTTTTAAACACTGCTTGGCCCATTATCTGTAGCCTCTTATTAGCTAACTCTTACATATTGATCTAACCCATTTCTAATAATCTGTGTAACACCACAAGGTGGTGGCTTACCAGGAGGATTCTAACCTGCAACTGTCTCGGAGAGGAGAGTCATGGCGACTGCCTGCCTCTGCTTTCTTTCTCCCACAATTCTGTTCTGTCTACTCCACCCACCTAAGGGCTGGCCTATCAAAAAGGTCAAGGCAGTTTCTTTATTAACCAATGAAAGTAACACATAGACAGTTAACACTCCTCCATCAAGGAGTCACGAGGAGTTGTCAACCAGGTACAGAACAAGCAAGACAGGCAGGAGGAGAGGTAACAGCCATAATCCTTGTGGCAGCACATAGATGAATAGAAATGGGTTGATTTAAGCTATAAGAGCTAGTAAGAAACAAACCTAAACTACAGGCCAGGCTTTCATAATTAATAAGAAGTCTACATGTACAGGGCAGTGGTGGTGCACACCTTTAATCTCAGAACTCGGGAGGCAGAGACAGGCAGATCTCTGTGAATTCAAGGTCAGCCTGTGTAGAAGGCCGCAACCACACTCTCCACCATAGATGGCGCTGCACTGCCAGGTGAGCTAGAAAGCTCACATGTGTTGGTATTTTTCCACTACTCCCAAGGTATCACCTGGGACTGGGAGCA